TAACTACCCTGTGAGAGGCCTGGTTTATGAGGGAGGAAACACGCTAATGGATTTGTCAGATCTTGTAGCCAATGCCTGCATTTGCCTTCAGGAGAATAATATTCCTTTTAATGTCCTCATATCTGATTCTGGCAAGAAGGTCTTTGTTTTTCCTCAGGTATTTTTCATTCCATACTAAATTGTGTAAATTCTTAAAGTTTTCTGGGAAGTATGAACGTTATTGCGTGAGCCTTTTTTTTTTCTTTTCTTTATTCTTTTGAGGGGTTGCGGTGAGGGGTGAGGAGGTTTGACTAATACGTAATATTTGAAAAGTTTCTCTTATCAGATGTAACTGCAAATGCACTACTTCCTGTCTTATCCTTAGTGAATGTGGAACTACTAATTATGAAATAAATATAATTTATGGGTATGATAGGCTGCCATATAATTGGTTGGGTCCTTGTCAGAAGCATGTCATGATTATGCTTTTTATGGCAATTTATATAGCTCTGGTCCATCAGTTTGCCTAGTGAAAGAGACCTATATCCACTTAGATCTTATGTTCTAATATAAAGGGGAAAACGGCCTAATGATTTTTCTCCAAAACACTATGCAGTGCTATGCTGAGAAACAAGCTCTCGGCGATGTGAACCAAGAGCTCTTAGATACTCAGGTGAATCCTGCTGTGTGGGAGATAAGTGGTCACATGGTGCTCAAGAGAAAGGAGGATTATGAAGAGGCTACTGAAGACTATGCTTGGAGGCTCCTGGCTGAGGTCTCACTCTCAAAAGACCGATTCCAAGAAGTGAAAGATTGTATCTTTGAAGCCACAGGGTTGGTGGAGTCTAAAGAGGAAGTTGCAGATGCTGCTGAGAACAAAGAAACCTCTTTCCGTGGTGCAACTCCAGTGTCATCTCGTCATTTCCCACAAGGCTGTTTGGTTCTTGAGTGAGTTTGGTCTATTGGTGTGCCTTTGTCTGGAATAAAGCTTTTGCTATAGCAATATTGTTGCTTGGTGCAGTATTATTGTCATTGGTGTGTTTTCTTTCATCCTGTATCTACTATTGAACTTTCAGTGGGCTACTTTCCTGCTGCTATTATGAATGATTGTCAACGGATAAGCTTATTTTTAATATTAAGACAAGTTGCCCAATGTTGTTATTTTCCTGATTCTCTAAGTCACATTTAGTTACACGTCTTGGGTGGGATACCCTTAAAGATTTTCATAATCTGGTGTTAGTTGCTTTCTGCTGATTCAATACTCATGACTGTAAATAGAAATATCATTGTCTTTGATTTTCATGGAAAAAAGAAAGTAATGAATATTAGTAATTTAGTCCACATGTCTTAAGCATAAAAGAAAAGCCAACTACCGAAAGCTAACTGGTTTTGCATGTTGTTTTAACATTGTACTTTAACTGGTAAGATTTCTTTCGTAACAAAGTAGCTAATTTTTGTGAATACTTCGTAATGGAAGTGCCATGAAGGCTTCGAACCAGAAATCGTCCAATACAGTTTCCATGGAAAATTTGATCATTAAGAATGGAGGGTTGATGGAGTAGTGATCAGCTGTTCAGTAAGTAGTTTGAACCATGACAGAGATGTTTGCAAACCGTAATGTGATGGAGGACAAGGTGGGGGTTTATTTTCACTGTAGACGAGATATATTCAGCCTCAAGTGGTAGGCCATACCTTCAATAATTGTGATTGACGTGGGGGTTGTATAGACCAATGGGTTGTGGAGAGTGCTAAGTTAATTTCACTAATGATAGTATGCTGTTTATTTGATTGTTATGGTCAAGCTGCTATGGTTGTTTTGGATTTCTGTGGGGCCTAGATTTAATGATGATGGTCTCAGCGCAGAAGGAAATAGACCTGGCACTTGGAAAGCCAAAAACACTTCATGCAAGTGGATTGGTGCATTCAGCGCAGAAGGAAATAGACCTGGCACTTGGAAAGCCAAAAACACTTCATGCAAGTGGATTGGTGCATCTGAAAATGGTGTGGCTTCTTGAAATGATGGTAATATTTTTTGATGTTACAATTATTCTATTTGTCCATCTTTTCTTGTAACTAAATAACAGTTAGAATTTTGGTATACTTAAGTCTACTGTTGTTCCTTTACTTTGTTCACTTCTTATCGCGTTGGCTATGTGTCTGTTAGAAATTAGCAATCATACCTAGTATAATGTTCTATTATGTACTTAGTTACTGTGAGATTCAATTAGTTGATGAATTGTTATTTATGATAAAATACATGCTTCTATTTGAGTAATTTTTGGTTGTGTTACATCACATTACATGCTGATTATTTATTACATGTGAGCGTGATTTGGCTTGTTGGCTGTTTTTCAGAGAAGTTTAGTGTGATTCCTTCTTATACCCTTTTTTTTGCTGCATGTAATTGATATTTGCCTGCCTGGACATGATCTGTTGGTTTTTGGTGTCTTATGTTAGTAGTTCTTGTCTTGTGGTTATATCAGTTCGTATGAGTTTAGTTTGTGACTCTTCTTTTTGGTGTATTCCAAACTATTACTCAAGATAGGAGGGATCAGTCTGATACTAGTTTAAGATTTGTCAGTAGCTTATGTAGTACAGACACTACTATCATGAGCTATGTCATGTTGCACCTGCATCTGGTATGCTTGTTTGATACTCTTATTGTGTCTATTCTTAGAATTGCCGTGTGTCATTTCCATGTTGGTGTGAACTCAACTTCTTTCACTCAATTATTTACTTTTTGGGTTTTCTATGTAAGAATTTACTGCTTCATACTATGTGCCAGTGCATATTATGTCTTACACGAGTGCACACATGGATAGTTTGTTGAGGATGCATGCATGCTCATGACTGATCAGCTCTATGTAACTGCTGCTAGTGTGTGTGTGTGTGTGTGCAAGCGCCTGCTGCTTGTGTGCTTTCTTGTGCCTGTGCAAGGCTGTACTTACTTAATTCTGCATTATTTGTTTTTTAACAATTTAATTAACATATTAATTGTTGTCATGTTTTTGTTACATAGTTCATGCTGTGTTCATTATTTGCAATTTCACGCATCTTTACTTGACAGTACCGAAATCTGACCCATTTTAATTTTAATTTTTTTAATATTCCTTGTTTCTAAGATATTGGGGGATCTTTGCACTTGCACTTTTGGTTTCTTTACTTATTTCACTCTCTTTGAGTTACAAGTTTCAAAAGCAATTTTACTCTAACAGTCTTCATCCTATGGCGGGGATATCAAAGGAGGAGAGAATCTCCCTTCTGACATCTCCCTCGACATTTTTTTCTCTTGAACTGGTGAATATACTAAAAAGACATTCCGCTTGTTACCTAAGTGACCTATAAAGAATTAAATTATCATCTAACCCTTTCATAAAATGGTGTTGTTATAGGGCATTGCTCTGATGGTCACACCATTTTGATATGAGCACAGCCACGACTTGTTGATTCATGAAGTCCTTGAGTGCTTACCCCAAGATGATTGACTCTTAACAGCTTCTTGCTGCCGCATTCAGTAGGGGAAGCTAGGATCCCGTAATTATGGCTGGGTTATGGCAGCTTCAGGCCCTTTGTCAAATCAAATCTTTCACACTCTCAGGTAATGGGTTATCCTTATGATCTATTCTATGCCCATGAACTTCAATTATGACTAACAAGAAAGCTGTTTGATCCCGCCAGAAAAGGGTAGCTTGATTGTGCATGCTGACAATCTTATTACTTGTCGAAGGCTTCTCCAGTAGATGAGGCCTCAGCCAAAGGTTACCTACCACCAAAGGTCTTGAAAAGAATGGTGTGAAGGACGTCATATTGTGTAACTATCCTTCGAAGGGCCTCGTTTATGAGGGCAGAAATGCACTAAATATCTTGCAGATACATTTGCTATTGCATCGTCAAGATAATAGCATCTATATATTTTGAGCTTTTTCCTCAGGCCTTCCTAGAGGGTCCTCCTGTTCACTCAGGTATCAGTCTTTCCTGAAATTATGTAATTTAAGTTCGCTAGGAAATGCTATGTGACTGCACGAGGCGTTACGTGGTGGTAGACCATGACAAGGATATGTAGTACTTTTGTTTTATGAATGCTGGTTGGCACCTTTCAGTCCTATGGTTGATATTTGTCACATGATCCTCTTAAATCTGCCGGCTACACCTAGAGCTGAAGCACTGAGGAAAAAGAATATTGTTAGAATAAGTTTATTGGGTATTGGGTTAATGGGCTGTGACCCGTTAACCATACTCCTCTTTGTATGCATATATATATGTATTCTTAACTATCTTAATGACTCAATTGATTAGGGTTTTTGATCCTTCAACATGGTATCAGAGCGATACCCTCCAAACCCTAACCCTTGTTCTTAAAAAAAAAAAAAAGTACTAACCTTCTCTGCTCTCCTCCGCTCCGCAACCGGACTTCACCACCCTCCAAACCCTAACCCTCGACGACGGTGCCGGAGTCTCTTCGAGCTGCTCACCACCGCCCTGCGTTTAGTTCTCATCGCCGCCATCAAAAAAAAAAAAAAAAACAAACAAAGAAAGCATCCTCGTCTGCAGCATATTTCTCAACAAGTGGGCGGAAGACACGATCAGAGAGGAGAGCCTTGTCGGTAATAAGATAAAGAAGGTCAACTGCCCTCTTTTATCTTTTAAAGGCTAACTGCCTTTTGTTTCATTAAAATAAAGTGGGGGAATGTCGAGAAGGACTGACGAAGGAATCTTGAAACTCTGTCCGCTTATGTGTTAATCTCAAATCAAAGGATTCTTTGATTAAAACTCCTTTTTGCTACTACTGACTATCCTATAACAATGTCTTTTGATATCTCCTCTGATGTTACTACTGTCACTACTCCTACTACTGAGATTTCTGCACCAAAGGTGGTTTTGGGAACCACGGTAAAGTTAAATGGCACAAACTATCTTCTTTGGGCACATGCCTTTCGTATTTTCATTGGTGCTCAGAACAAATTAAATCATCTTCTGGCATCTCCGCCCCTCACTACAGATCCTACCTACAGTTCATGGCTATCGTCTGATTATTGTGTTATGACTTGGCTTCTAAACAGTATGGAAGCACAGATCAGTAGCAGTGTTATGTTCTTAACCACTGCGAAGGAGATGTGGGACAGCCTGAAGATTATGTACGGGAATGAGAAGAATGTTTCCCGTGTATTTGAGATCTATGAGCGACTGTTTGCACTGAAACAGGGAGATAGATCAGTTCCTGAGTTCTTTGGTGAGTTGAAGGGACTGATAGACGAACTGGAGATGCATCAGCCTGCAGTAGCTGATGCAGCGACGCTGTTGGGATATCGCCGTGACCTGGCGGTGTCCAAGTTTCTTTCTGGATTGCACCCTACCTTACAGTCCCAGGTGAGGGGACAGATATTGGGTGGAGATACCGTTCCTTCACTAACTGCTACATTCTCCAGAGTTATGCAGGTCTCTACTGGTGTTACTTCTACCACTGCACCGTCTCCACCTTCAGTTCATCAGTCTGCCATGTTCTCTAGTCGAGGCAGAGGCCGCGGTCGTGGTCGTGGTCGTGGTCGTGATTCAGGGGGAGGACGTGGTTCCTTTAGTGGGAGACATGATGATTCTGATAGGGGCTCACGTCAGTGTAGTCACTGTGGGAGGACCAATCATGTTTCTGAGAAGTGCTGGGAAAAGTTTGGTCGTCCTCAGTGGGCTCAGGTCGCTGACGCCGAGTCGACTCGCTCGTCTATTTCTGCTACTACTTCTGGTGGTCCAGCTGCTACTGCTACCACTGTTCAGATTTCTCAGGCAGATTATGAGCGATTACGCCAGCTAGAGCTCTCTCAGAACAGTCATTCTGCTACTCATGCATCCTCTTCAGGTATGGATGCTTACATAGCTTCTTCTCACAAACCCCGGGTACTAGATTCTGGAGCCTCATCTCATATGACAGGTATAAAGGATCACTTTGTATCTTTACATCTTTCTGATAAGCTTCCCTCTATCCGCATTGCTGATGGTACTCTTTCTCTAGTTCGTGGTGATGGAGTAGTTCATGCTACTTCCTCTTTAAAACTAACTGATGTGTTATATGTTCCCAAATTCCCTGTTAGCCTATTATCCATTAGCAACTTTACAAAACAAAATAATTGTAAAGTCACCTTCTTTCCATTTTATTGTGTTTTTCAGGACCTAGCAACTGGGATGACGATTGGTTTAGGGCATGAGAGAGGAGGTATGTACTATTTGGACGACAGTGTGCCAAAGGTTGGTCTTGTTGCATCACGGCCTGACTCTACTTTATTGTGGCACTAGCGTTTGGGTCATCATTCACTACAAAAACTTAGATCGGTAGTTTCTGTTCAACCATCTATTTCCTCTTTAGGTTGTGAGTCGTGTGAACTAGGTAAGCACCATCGTGCTACTTTTCAGAGTCGAGTCGATAAATGCAGTAGCTTTGCTTTTGAGTTGGTTCATTCTGATGTCTGGGGTCCTTATCGTGTTCCCTCTGTGCAAGGTTATCGATATTTCATTATATTTGTTGATGATTTCTCTCGCATGACGTGGCTTTATTTGTTAAAAGAGAGATCAGAGGTCTCGCGCGTTATTGAATACTTTTATAATGAAATAAAAACTCAGTTCTCTACTTCTATTTGTATTCTTCGTACTGATAATGATTTGGAATATATGAAAAGTGATGTTTCAAAATTTTGTGCTCTTAATGGCATTATTCATCAGACTTCTTGCTCTCACACTTCACAACAAAATGGAGTTGCTGAGAGGAAGCATAGGCATATTCTAGATGTTGCTAGAACACTGATGATACATATGAATATTCCAAAGTATTTGTGGTCTGATGCTGTTCTCACTGCAAATTATTTGATTAATCGCATGCCTTCCTCTGTCCTTGATGGTTTAATACCATTCAATTGTCTTTATCCCGATAAAAAACAATTCTCTGTGATTCCCCGTGACTTTGGTTCTACGTGTTTTGTTCAGGATTTAACTGTTGGTTTGGATAAGTTGTCATATAGATCCATCAAATGTGTTTTTGTTGGATACTCTCGTACTCAAAAAGG